TCATTGCGCTCTTCCTGGGCGAAGCAGATCAGTCGCCGGCTTCTGGACGGCTGCTCATGGCAGCTGCTGGCTGCTCACGCTGGCTGCTGGCTACACATGGTAGCCCATGGCAACCCACTGCAGCAGGGGCTGCAGCCTACGCCATCAGCAGCCCATTTCCAGGTTGAGCTGTTGTTCAGCATCTTAGCTGTTGAGGGCAGTGTCACTGGCCCTCATATGTGGGATCCGAACCAGGGCCTTCTGGCGTCCCAAGCCAGCTCTTAACCAATGTGCCACTCGGCTGGCCCAGAGGCATACATTTTAAAAAGTAACTTTCAAAACTGTATGTGTAGTGTGATGTTGTGGTAAAATACACATAACAAAATTTACCATTTTAAAGAGTACATTTCAGTGGCATTAAGTGCATTCATGATGTGCAACCATCACCACACTCTAGTTCTAGATATCTTTATTGCCCTAAAGGGAAAGTTACTCCCCATTACCCTTTCCAACCAGTCTCTGACAACCATAAATCTGCTTTCTATCTGTGTGGATTTGCCTATTCTGGATATTACATATAAGTTCAATTAAACAGTATATGGCTTTTTATTTCGGACTTTTTTCATGTTTTCAAGGTTATTCATGTTGTAGCATTAATCAGTACTTTATTCCTTTTTATGGTCAAATAACACTCCATTGTTGGATATACCACATTTTCTTTTTATTTAAAGATTTTATTGGGGAACTGGGGGAGAGGAACAGTGTTGGGGTATCGGGGAAGGAGAACAAATAAGTTGCTGTCATTTTGTTCTTCAGTCTAGTTGTGAAAGACGTTGCTTCACTGGCCCATGTTGGTATTGTCATTGCTCTTCCTGGCTGAGGCAGATTGGTCACCAGCCATTGGATGGCTGCCCACGGCGACTCATGACAGCCCAGCTCCAGGTCGAGCTGTTGTTCACCATCTTAGCTGTAGAGGGCGCAGCGTCACTGTTTCTCATGTGGGATTCGAACCGGGGCTCTGCTGCTCAGAGCTGGCTACCCAAGCCAACTCTTAACCATTGCGCCACTCGGCTGGCCCTACCCCGTTTTCTTTATCCGTTCATCTGTTGATGGACATTTGAGTTGTTTCTACTTTTTCACTATTACGAGTTATGAGTGCTACTATGAACATTCATGTACAAGTTTTTATTTGAACATCTGTTTTCAGTTCTTTTGCGTATATGCCTAGGAGTGGAATTGCAGGGTCATATGGTAACTGTATGATTAACTTGTTGAGAAACCACCAAACCATTTTCCAGCAGCAATGTATGAGGACTCCATTATCTTCACTTCCTTGTCAACACTTGATAATTTTGGTTTTTGTTGGTTTTTTTTGTTTGTTTTTTAAAATAGCCATCTGGTGGGTATTAGAGATTTTTATTTGCACTTCCTTAATGAATAATAACATTGAACATTCTTTCATGTACTTGTTGGCCATTTGTATATCTTCTTTGAAGAAATGTCTATTTAAGTCATTTGCCTATTATTTAATTGGGTTGTTTGTCTTTTTTTGTAGTTGAGTTGTAAGATTTATATATGTTTTTTGGATTAAACTCTTACCAAATATGCCATTGGCAAATACTTTCTCCCACCCTCTGGGTTTCCTTTTCACTCTTGATAGTGTACTTCGATGAATAAACATTTTTAATTTTCATGAAGGTCACAGTTTATTTTTTCTGTTGTTGCTTTTCTTTTTGGCCTTTTATCTAAGAATCCATTGCCAAATTCAAGTTCACTAAAATTTACCCCTGTGTTTTAAGAGTTTCATGCTTTTAGCTCTTAAGTTTAGGTCATTGATCTATTTTCATTAATTTTCATATCATGTGTGAGTTAGGGGTAACTGTATATGTGGATACCCAGTTCTCCCAGCACCATTTGTTGAAGAGACTGTTCATTCTCCATTGAATGGTCTTCACATCCTTGTTTTTTGGCTAAATATGTATGTGTTTATTTTGGACTCTGAATTCTAATAGCCTGTATGACTATTCTTATGGCAGTACACACTGTTTTGATTACTGTAGCTTTGTTAGTAAGTTTTGAAATCGGAAAGTGTGATTCATTAGTTCTTTTGGCTATTTGGGGTTTCTTGCAATTCCATATGAATTTTAGGCTTGGCTTTTCTGTTTCTGCAAAAAAAAAAAGGTCTCTAGGATTTTGATGGGATTACATTGACTCTGTAAATTGCTTTGGGGAATATTGCCATTTTAACAACATTTTCTTCAAATCCGTGAATACAAAATGTTTTTCTTAGATCTTTAATTACTCTCAGCAGTTTTTTGTAGTTGTAAGTTGTATAAGTCATGTACCTCCTAGGTTAAATTTATTCTTTAGGGGCCGGCCGTGTGGCACGTTGGTTAAGAGTTGGCTTGGAAGTGCTGGCCCTGAGCAGCAGGGCTGAGGTTCGGATCCTACATGACTGTCAGTGATGCTGCGCCCTCTACAGCTAAGATGGTGAACAACAGCCCGACCTGGAGCTGGGCTGCCGTGAGTCACCGGCGATGGCGTGGACTGCCATGAGCTACTGTGAGTGGCTGGCAGCCAGTGTGAGTGGCCAGCAGCTGGCATGAACTGCCATAAGCAGCCATCCAATGGCCAGTGATCGATTGCCTCACCTGGGAAGAACACAGTGTTAATACCAACATGGGTCAGTGAAGTGACGTCCTCCACAACTAGACTGAAGAACAAAAGGACAGCAACTACCCCTTCCCAATCTCCCAACGCTGTTCCCCTCTCCCAACTCCCCAATAAAATCTTAAAAAAAAAATTATTATTAAGATTTTAATCTTTCTGATACTATTGTAAATGGAATTGTTTTCTTAGTTCCCTTTTGGATTATCTATTGCAACTTATTTTCATGTTGCTTGTATCCTGCAACTTCACTGAATTCATTTATTAGCTCTAATAACTAAGATGTGTTTTGGATTCTGTATATAGGATCATGTCATCTGCAAATACAGAGAGTTTTACTTCTTTCCTATTTGAATGCTTATTTCTTTTTCTTGCCTAATTATTTTGGTTAGAACTTCCCAGTACAATGTTGAAAGAAGTGGCAAGAATAGGCATTTTTGTCTTGTTCCTGGTCTAAGGGGGAAGTGATTTTTAAAAAAATATATTTTATATGTACTCATTTTTGAGTAAATGTACCAAATTCAACTCTGTCTTTAAAAAGGATTTTTTTTTTAAGCTGAGCCATCCTGCCACCTGTTGGCAGCTTAGTGGCTACTCAGCTCGGGCCGGGAATCAAACTGCTGTTGCTCAGAGCTCAAACTCTGGAGCGAGCTCTTAATCAACTGAGCCACTCGGCCAGCCCAAAAAAAAAAAAAAAAAAGGATTTTTTTTTAAAGATTGAAATACTCCTGAATGACAATTGTAGTTGCCTTTGTGTAGTGAGTTTGAGTATGCCTTTCTTCCACTTTTTTAAACTTTTCCCACAATGAGGGGATATATATACACACACACACATATATATATTTTTATTTTTAAAGATTTTATGGGGTAATTGGGTAAGGGGAACGGTGTTGGGGAATTGGGTAAGAGAAACAGCCAAGTTGTCCTTCAATCTTAGTTGTGGAAGATGCAGCTAGCTCAGCTCCAAGCCCAGTCACCATCCGGCTGCCCATCGGCAGCTCATGGCTGCTCAGCTCAAGGTGCTGAGTTCAGTCTTAGTTGTGAGGGCAGGGGGAGCGGGGCGTAGCCCACCATCCCATGCAGGAGTCCAACCAGCAACCTTGTTGTTAAGAGCACTTGCTCTCACTAGCTGAGCCATCCTGCCACCTGTTGGCAGCTCTGCAGCAGCTCAGCTCAGGTGCAGCTCACTGGCCCATGTGGGAATCGAACCAGCAACCCTGTTGCTCAGAGCTCACGCTCTTAACCAGCTGAGCCACTTGTCCGGCATGAGGATATATTTTGAAGTTGAAAAAATAACTTTATTTAAAGAAGAATACTTTTCAACAACAAAGCTGTAATATGGCAATATGATCATAAATTGCCTTTGAAGAGACCTATATGAAGGTACATTGAAATGGTGTTTAATTTTTATTAGCCAGATAAATTTAAGTGGAAATAAAAGTTTTTTTCTAAGTCATTCATTGATAGAAAAGCAGAAAACCAAGGTAACCATAGATTAATAAATTTAAAATACTAAGTCTTAAAAATACCAAAAGAGTTTTAGCGTGTAATTGTACACTACCTTGAGTTGCCTTGTAAATGCTCATTGTATTTCCCTGACATTTTTATCTGGCCTGACCTGCACCCTCAAGATGTTTTTTAAGTAACACTTGACCCAAGCTATTGCTTGTTTCTTATCCTGTGATCTGGCTCTTGATCGTTATAATTAGTGTAGTTTTACATCCTACTATTAGACTTGAAGTTTTTGAAGGTTATGTTGTGGGGCAGAGTTGAGATCTGTGATTAGAAGGCTCCAAATAAATAGTTTTTGAATTTGGGTATCCTCAGGTCACCTGACACCAGCTAACTGTATTATTTCAAGAAGTGATCTTGTAACTAGGCTAAAAAACCAAACACTTCTGAGAGCACATCAGCACACATACTGTGAATTAGAAAAATGATTTGAGAAATAAGAATTAGGACCAATTTTTAGTATATCTGTTTCATGAACTGAATAAAGGTACTTACATTATTATAATTTTTCTGTATTATCCATGTTTTAAAAAGAAAATAGGAAACTTTACCTTGGAAGCTCAGTGCTTGAGATATTAATGTTAATTCATGTGAAAGGGTTCTTTAGCGTGAATCCTGGTATTTTTAACATGTATCCTTAAAATGGTTCATAATATTGTAAGGGCAAAAATTAAGGGTAGACTATATCCATTAAAACAATCTTAAAAATTTTTTAAAAATATTTTAAAAATTAAATTTATTGGGTGACTGGTTAATAACATTGAATAAGTTTTACTTAATACAATCTTTAAAAAAAACTTGTTTTCTTCGTATCAACATGTTTCTGTTTTTTTCTCTTGCAGTACCTGTTTGAAAATGGTAGAATAGATAACATTTTTACAGAGCCCTATTCCAGATTTATGATTGAACTTACCAAACTCTTGAAAATATGGGAACCTACAATACTTCCTAATGGTAGGATGATTATTTTTTATTTTGATTGTTTTTATGGTATCCCTTCTTAAATTGCTTAAGTTGTATGATTATCTTTTTATAAATTGTCATTTCTATTTCTGTCCTGATTTATAACATATTTGGACTTTTGAGGAGAAAGTCTTTGGTTTATTACTGATTATTTTAGTAAAACTGTAACTGCCAAACAATGCATGTATAGATACTAACTGTTGAAAATAAAAAAACTACTGGAGGTTGCATTTACATTTTTAGAAACTGTTTTTGATCTGGTAGTGTTGGTAAAGATGCACACTGTACCAGTAAGGGCCACATATTCTACTTCTAGACTCTGCCTGTTAGCAGTGGACCTTTTTCAATTGTTTATGAGAAGTACCCTGAGCTGGTTGTTGAGAGTTAAGTCTTCATCCTTGAATTGTCTTTGACCATACATACGTCATTGGTCTAGTCCGTAATTCACTCTTGGCCTCAGGCGCCTCGGCTGTGCATGGAGAGGCTGAATTCGGGATGCTGTGGAATTTGTGCCCCTCTCTGTTGGGCTACAGAGCACCTTTGAAACATTCTGAGCAACATGGTGGCTTCATGCATTCAGCATTCAAAGAGGAGGCTAGGGACATAGATTTGGAAGTAATAAATTCATGTTTGTGGATAGTCAGTCTCCTAAGAATAGAATTCAGAATCAGCAGCAAAGAGGACTGGGGAGAGAACATGAGAAAAAGACCCGCATTTAAGGGGTATCTTGAAGAAGGTGTGTTTAAAGGTATACTATTTTAATTCTGCAAGACCTCTTCTTTTCAAGAAAAGCCCAGACCCGTCATCATGAAGTTGTCACTCTTAATATAAATTGAAAATAAGGGGGGGTGGGCCGCAGAGGGCGCCATCTGCCTTCTAATGATCTTAGCTAAATAAAACTGAACTGGTTAAGCGCAATGAACTCAACCAGGAGGAGCCTGCAAACTGGCCCCCGGGCCAGATCTGGCCTGCTGCCATTTTTGTATATAGTCCATGAGCTAAAAGTAGTTTTTACATTTTAAATGGTTTGGAAAAAAATCTAAAGAAGAATAATATTTTGTGGCATGTGGAAATTACATGAAATTCAAATTTGTGTCTATAAATAAATTTTATTGGTATGTTATAGCCACATCTATTTATGTATTGTCTATGGCTCCTTATCTTCTACAACAACAAAGTTGTTCAGAGCTATATGGCCCACAGTGCTTAAAATGTTTACCATCTGGCTCTTGACAGAAAACATTTGCCAACCCGTGGTCTAAAATAACAATAGATTAAAACTGTTACATGGGAATGCTCCCAGTGTCTGCTTCAGTGGAATCATCTCCCCTTTTCTTTGCAGTGCCTTTTCTGGTTTTCTGTCTAAGGAAGAAGGGGAAGGAGAAGAAGAATCAGTCTTCTCCTTCATATCTTCCTGTCTGAGAGTTTGGGACATTCGTCTTATGTAGCAGGAGCTTAGTACTGTTTTTCTTTTACCCTCTTCCTCTGTCCAGGTTACATGTTCTCTCGCATTGAAGAAGAACATTTGTGGGAGTGCAAACAGCTGGGCGCTTACTCACCAATCGTCCTCTTGAACACCCTCCTTTTCTTCAATACCAAATACTTTCAACTAAAGAATGTTACTGAGCACTTGAAGCTTTCCTTTGCCCACGTGATGAGACGGACCAGGATTTTGAAGTACAGTACCAAGATGACATATCTGAGGTTCTTCCCACCTTTACAAAAGCCAGAGTCAGAACCAGGTGTGTGGTGGAGTTCATCAGATTTCTGTTGAAGTCTTACTAGTATTCAAATAGAAACTAATTGCAGAAGGGTAATTGTAAATTCTAGACATGAAAGGGTGTAGCTTAAATGCTTTTTCTTTATTGTTAAGGCTAGGTTCAAGGCTTTTCTCAAAATGAGAGGAATCACTTACTTCGATATACTTACATTGGCTTTTAAATCAGAAATTCTGATTTCAGTGCCTAGGGTAGAGCCTGAATAATCTTTATTTTAAACTTCCCAAGGAATTTAAATATACAGCCAAGATTGAGAATCACTGATTTAGAGGCAGCAAGCAGATGGGTCAATTGCTAGTTAAAAGGAGTCTGCTTTTTTTTTTTCTTTTTAAGATATTTATTAAAATGTAGCTAACATACAACATTTTTTAGTTTCAGGTGTACACTATAGTTATTCAATACTTAAATACATATAGGAGTCATCACCATGATAAGTCCAGCAGCCATCTGACAACATATCACGCTATCGCAATATTGTTGACTATATTCCCCATGCTGTACGTTATATCCCCATTACTTAATTTGTTTTATACCTGGAAATTTGAACCTCTTATTCCCCTTCACCTTTCCATCCCTGTTTTAATTTTTCAGTTACAGTTGACATTCAGTATTATTTTATATTAATTTCAGGTGTACAGCACAGTGGTTAGACATTTATGTAACTTAAGAAGTGACCCCCCCTGACCAATCTAGTACCCACCTGGCACTATATATAGTTATTACCATATTATTGACTATATCCTCTATGCTTTACTTTACATCCCATGAATATTTTGTAACTACCAATTTGTACTTCTTAATCCTTTTACCTTTTCACCCTGCCTCCAACCCCCCTCCCATCTATCACCCCAACAAATCTGACACCATACAGTAATTAAAGTATTAATTGAATGTATTCCTTATCCTGTACCCTATATCCCTATGACTACTGTGTAACAGCCAATTTGTACTGCTTAATACCATCTCCTTTTTCACCCACCCCAAACCCATTCCCATCTAGCAACCATCAAAATGTTATCTGTGTCTATGAGTCTGTTTCTGTTTTGTTTGTTTATTTTGTTCTTTAGATTCCACATATAAGCAAAATCACATTCCATCTGTCTTTCTCTGTCTGACACTTCACTCAGCGCAGTACTCTCCAGGTCCATCCATGCCCCCGCAGATGGCGAGAACCCATTCCCTTCCATGGCCGAGCAATATTCCATTGTATGTATGTACCACCTCCTCTTTATCCATTCATCCATCGACGGACACCCAGGCTACCTCCACATCTTGGCCATTGTAAACAATGCTGCAATGAACATATGGATGCACATGTCCCCTCCAAGTAGCAATTTGGGTTTTTTCAGATAAATACCCTGAAGTGGGTCCTTCTTTGTCCCGCCTTTGATGTAAAGTCTATTTTGTCTGGTATAAGTATTGCTACTCCAGCTTTTTGTTGTTGCTTTTGTTTCCATTTTCATAAAATATGTTTTTTTCATCCTTTACTTTCAGTCTGTTGTGTCTTTTGATCTGAAGTGAGTCTCTTGTAGGTAGCATATGTAAGAGTCTTATTTTCTTATCCATTCAGCCATCCTATCTTGTTTTTGTTTGTTTGTTTTTAAGCTGAGCCATCCTGCCATCTATTGGCAGCTCAGCGGCTCCTCAGCTCAGGCCAGGCATCGAACTGCTGTTGCTCAGAGCTCAAACTCTTGAGTGAGCTCTTAACCAGCTGAGCCACTCGGCTGGCCCTAGCCATGCTATCTTTTGATTGGAGCATTTAATCCATTTACATTGAAAGTAATTGTTGATAGAGATATAGTTATTGCCATTTTATTCTTCATACTTTTTACCTTATCTCTTTTTTTTTTTCTTTTTTCATCTTAAATAAGTCCCTCTAAGAGTCCTTGTAATTCTAGTTTAGTGATGATGAACTCCTTTAGGTTTTTCTTGTCTGGGAAGCTCTTTATCTGTCCTTCCATTGTAAATGATAACTTTGCTGGGTAAAGTAATCTTGGTTGTAGGTCCTTGCTTTTCACCACTTTGAATATTTCTTGCCATTCCCTTCTGGCCTGCAAAGTTTCTGTTGAGAAATCAGCTGAAAAATCTCATGGGAGTTCCCTTGTAGATAACTAACTGCTTTTCTCTTGCTGCTTTTAAGATTCTCTCTTTGTCTTCAACCTTTGGTGTTTTAATTATGATGAGTCTTGGTGTGGGCCTGTTCGGGCTTATTTTTGGGACTCTGTGCTTCTTGAACTTGTATATTTATTTCCTTCACCAGGTGTGGAAAGTTTTCCATCATTATTTCCTCAAATAGGTTTTCAGTTCCTTGCTCGCTTTCTTTTCCTTCTGGTACCATATAATGCGAATGTTGGTGCTCTTGATATTGTTCCATAGGCCCCTTAAACTGTCCTCATTTTTTTGGATTCGTTTTTCTTTTTGCTATTCTGTGTGGGTGTTTTCTGCTACCTTATCTTCTAAATCGCTGATTCGATTCTCTGCTTCATCTGATCTGTTGATTCCCTCTAATTCTTAATTTCAGTCATTGTAGTCTTTATTTCTGACTGGTTCTTTTTTATGTTTTCTATCTCCATTTTTATGTTAACTATCTCCCTAAGATCATTGAACATCCTTATAACCAGTGTTTTGAACTCTGCATCTGGTAGATTGGATGTCTCCATTTTGTTTATTTCTTTTTCTGGAGCTTTGTTCTGTTCTTTTATTTGGGATATATTTCTTCATGTCTCTTCTTAACTTTTAAATCTACTGTTTATAAATCCTTTTTATTTTTTTGAGCAAAGCACCTCATTTTGGTTAACATTAGTTTCAAATTCTGAAGAAACTTAAAAGGTGGCCTAGGGCCGGCTGAGTGGCGTGTTGGTTAAGAGTTGGCTTGGGATGCCAGCTCTGAGCAGCAGGGCTCCGGTTCGGATCCCACATGGGGCCAGTGACACTGCGCTCTCTACAGCTAAGATGCTGAACAACAGCTCAACCTGGAGCTGCGCTGCCATGAGTCGCCGGCGACGGCGTAGGCTGCAACCCCTGCTGCAGTGGGCTGCTATAAGCTACCGTGTGTGGCTGGCAGCCAGCGTGAGCGGCTGGCAGCCGATGTGAGCTGCCAAGAGCCGCCGTGATGGCTGTCCAGAGGCCGGTGACTGATCTGCCTCACCCAGGAAGAGCGCAGTGATAATACCAACATGGGCCAGTGAAGTAACTCCTCCACAACTAGACTGAAGAACAAAAGGACAACAACTTGTCTGTTCCCTCCCCTAATTCTCCAATAAAACCTTTAAAAAAAAAAAGGTGGCCTAGAGTTGACTGCTTTTGTACATAGTAAAGTAATATTAACAGTGACAATTTTATTAAAAGCTTTATCGTCTTACATTCCAAAAACAGCCTATTATATAATAGTTTTGTTTTTATAAAGATTTTATTGGGGAATTGGAGAGGGAACAGTGTTGGGGAATTGGGGAAGGGGAACAGACAAGTTGCTGTCCTTTTGTTCTTAAGTCTAGTTGTTTAGGACGTTGCTTCACTGGCCCATATTGGTATTGTGATCATTGCATTCTTCCCAGCTGAGGCAGATGGGTTGCTGGCTATTGAATGGCCACTCACTGCAGCACACCAGCTACTGGCCGCTCACGCTGGCTGCCGGCCACTCACAGTAGCTTATGGCAGCCCACTGCAGTAGGGGCTGCAGCCTACGCCGTCGCCAGCGACTCATGGCAGCCCAGCTCCAGGTTGAGCTGTTGTTCATCATCTTAGCTGTAGAGGGCAGTGTCACTGGCCCCCATGTGGGATCCAAACCAGCGGCCCTGCTGCTCAGAGCTCATACTCCCAAGCTAACTCTTAACCAACAAGCCACTTGGCGGCCCAATAGTTTATTTTTAATGTTTGTAAAATCAATATTGTTATTATGGAAATCAAAATGAAATTTATTGATTTTGACCAAAATTATAAGTTCTGAAATTTCTAAAATCTAGCTGTTACCTCCTTAGAATAAAAGTGAAATATATTGTTTGAATTTGAGAATTTAAAATTACTGAAACTAAAACCTTAAAGAATAATTGTGATGTTCATGTTTGTTTTAACTTTTTTCTCAATTGCTCCTTTACTTTAAAAAATACTAAGATTATCTTACTTTTTCACGTTTGTCCTCATTTGTTCAATTTGTTCATATATAGTCCACTTTGTGCTCTTAATATTCATTGGGGGAGAGAGAGGCAATCAGGTAACATTTCCCTGTTTTCTAATTAGGCACTTGACAAGATTGGTAATAAATTCAGCTTCTTTTCTGAATGAGTAACTAACAAAGTCTTTCTATTGGGTTGTTGGAAAAGTCATAACATATTTTTTCTGTGTTTTTCGTTGCAAAAATGTGTCATGACTTTTCCGACAACCCAATATTTAGGTAGCCTCTAAATAGAAAACCAGGGTGAATTTTGTTTAAGTAATAACTAATGCAGGAAGGTGGGGAAGGCTCTGTGCCAGTGATTAAGAGCAGCTGTCAGAACAGAAGAAAACCTTTTTTCTCAGGTTCTCAGATCCACCTACTATTTTCTTGGAGATTGAATGGAGAAAGTGGGAAAGAAACAGCCCACTTCCCATATCTTCACCCTTGGCCTCTGCAAAATTCTGTTGGTGAAAAAGGGTTTGCTCTTTTCTTAACCAAATGTCCACTTTACTGAGAATTTCTTTTCCCAACAAAATTCCGTTTCTCATAATACAATGACAAAAGAAATTTGAAGGAATGCCCAGTGGGCACTGGTGCCCCATAGAAATAATTTCGTAAATAGAAGAGGTGACATCTTCTATCTCAATGTCTACCACAGGAGAAGAGCATTGGAAACCCTTAAGAGCCCTATGCCTAAGAAAATCTCCTAACCAAGTCAGACTCAGAAGTGAGATGTACTCTCCAGCACCATGCCTGTGACCATGCTGCCCCCAGTTTGGCACGCAGGGGAACATAACTTGTACAGGTCGGGCAGTTTGTTTTGTTGAGTGCTGTTAAACCCAGCACTTAAAGTAAAACCTAACACCTCCACAGGCGCTCAATAAATACTTGTTGAATGTGTAAGTGAAAGGAAGTAGTAAGGGCTGACAGTTCTTACTGGAAACAAAGTAAAAATAATCTTCTGATTCTTATTTCCTGCCTCAAGATAAACTAACTGTTGGCAAACGAAAGCGAAATGAAGATGGTGAGGTTCCAGTGGGTGTGGAGATGGCAGAAAATACTGACAACCCACTCAGATGCCCAGTCCGACTTTATGAGTTTTACCTGTCAAAATGGTGAGTGAGCTTCCTGGGAACTCTATACATAGACAGCATACTTCAAAAAGTAGTTAACATACTTTGGATTTCAGAGGCTTGACTATCAAATGTAGCTCGCCTGTGACCAAAGTCAAAGTCTAAAAACAGGGATTTGCCTCTAATTTCATTATTTCCCCATTCTGAAATCAGCCTGGATATTGAACCAAGAGACAAATTGCTTTATTTTGATAATCTTTTTCCCAAAATGCTCTTGAAAAGCAAGAATAAGAATCCTTCTCATTGTTTGATCTTTACACTGTTGCTCAGCCTTTAATGTGATATCTAAACTGCTGTGATTTTATTATTTATATAGAAAAGATATTTAGAGAGGTTATTCTGCTAAACCTATAAATAGAAAAACTATTTTTGAGGAATTGAAAAAATTCGAGTGGTCCTTTTTTTTTTACAGAAATTATGACTTTAGAGTTGTAAGATCTACACTGAAGCACTTTATTCTCAAAGAACTATAATAACTGGGTTTTCCCTTTAATAATGTATATTGAGTGCTCCTAGGGTTCATTCCAGGATAATGGGTGCTGAGGATATGTGTTTCTAGCCATAGTGACACATGTGAGTTGAATTTTTGTTGCTCTTAATAATGTTTTAAGTACCAAAGTTTGTGAAGGATTTACACTTTGTCTTGTATTAACATTATACTCACTTCCAATCCAGTGTGATTTCTTGAGTGTGGGAGAAAAGGTTTCTTCTGGGGGGAAATGCCTATACACTTATTTATAAATCTCTGTGGGTATATTGCTTATCTCTGATATTAGTCACAGTAGGGAGAAGTTGAGAACTATTATGTTAAAAAGTATTTATGTATTTCTTATACTCTCTGATCCCCAATTTTCTGTTTTCTTTTTTCCCCTATGGATAGTTCTGAAAGTGTGAAGCAGAGGAATGATGTGTTTTACCTTCAACCCGAGCGCTCCTGTGTTCCGAATAGCCCCATGTGGTACTCCACATTCCCGATAGACCCTGGGACCCTGGACACCATGTTAACACGTATTCTCATGGTGAGGGAGGTACACGAAGAACTTGCCAAAGCCAAATCTGAAGACTCTGATGTTGAATTATCAGATTAAAGCAGAAGTGGGGTTCCTATTTTCATACACATTGGTATGCACCAAACTGTGAATGCATCCAGCTTTGGAAAACGATGTATAAGTCCAAGTCCTCTTGACTTGATAGTAAGATAATGGAAACCAGACGACTCGTGAACCACAGTGTGGATGTTCAAATGAAAATTGAAGGAAAATATGAACTGAGAAATGTTGTTCTTTGGCAGTGATATAGCTCTTAGACATCTTCAGAATGACTAACCAATTTCTCTGAGTGGTGCATAATCTTATTTTGTTTGGGAATAACAAATTGTGGAATATTTTTAAGGAAAACTGTTGTATAAAACTCTACCATAGTAACCTTAGACATTAGAGAGGTAGCTTTGGAGTGAAACCTTGGCTGCAATAGGCTACTTGGGCAAGCCCTATCTAAAAGTCAGGGGAGAAATCAGTACAGAGCTCAGAGTCACGTCAGATGAGGACTTGGGACCCAGACTTAAAGACCCAGTAAAAATACTCAACTTTTTTTTACAAGGTAGAGAGTAAAGTGGTCTTGATTTTGATTTTCACTGCCAAGCCAATTCTGTGAAGGATGGAAGCCTGGTGCTGTTGCCATGGGCCCCTCACATCAGGGAAAGGCCTTCACTGTTGTTCACACAGTAATGTGCCCCTTTTACTTTCTGGGTCTAGCCTTCTCAGCCGTGGGTCTGGATGTGGGCAAAGTAAGGGAAAGGAGCTGAAACTCTGCAAACTGGTTATGCACACAGAAAATCTGTGGAGCCCTTTGGACCCCAAGTGTCTTGAAATGTTTCTAGAAAACCCACTAAAACGCCCACTTCTCTGGGTCAGCCTTTGTTGCTGCTGTCTCATAGCACGAGCTGTGGTACACAGAAATGGGGGTTCTCTTGTTTTCATTTTATCCCCAAATGGCAGCTTTTCTCCCCTTGTTTTATCTTCCTCAGTAATTCCTCTTATTTTGTCTTTTGCACCAGTTTCTGGAGGCCCTTGTCATTTCAAAGAGAATAGGCTCTCTCCTTATTCTGGCAAACCTGTGGGTGTTTCCACAAAGACACAGTATTACTTTAGCTATCAGAATTACGGTAGAAAAGATCTTAGTATGTTCCTGTATTAAGCATTTGGAAGATGACCTTGTCCTAAGAAACTTGAAAATAGGGATTCTGGGGTTAGGATACAAAGACATTGACTGTCTTGCATATCCACAAGCAGGTTTTCTTATAGCATTATTCCAAACTCTAGCTGTTTTAGTGGTTCTATAAGGAATGCAAGTCATAGGTGTGTTTGACATATCGATCCACCTCCCTCATCTCCATTCTCAGTTTCTTCCCCACAAAATTTTGAATCAAAGCTTTTATGACGTTGGCTAATCACAGAACTTCTTTAGCAGAGGTTAATTTGACTCTGTAATAAAATTAGAGAAGTCCAAAAAGCCTCTTAGAAATTTTAATCTTGAAAGACTTTCCAGTATGTCCCATTTTTTTATGGGAGTGGCAGGTGTTTTTTTTTTATGGTTTTTTTTTTTAATGAAAGTCATTTAACTACAATAAAAATTTAAAAATAGGCCTTTTGACATTGTGTACTTGATGGTTCTGTCCCTCTGCCTGTAACAAATTTTGTTTTTGTTACTGACAACTGTGTGAAAGAAGTAAATCTGCCCCAATTCTGTATGATTAATCCCATCTGTGTTTGTCATTTCTGATCAGAAAACTTACTTCCAGACCTTGTTTGATATGGAGGAAAAACAATTGGATTGTCTCATAAGTCTGCCAATAAACTGTCCAGAAACTTCAGGGGTAGTAGTCCCTACTATATGAACTTGACGGTTTGTGTAAACACTAACATTTCCCCTTCCGTAGTTGTATGAAAAACAGATATTCTTGGCACACTAGATAAATTGTATACAACATCAGAGAGAAAAAGAATCTGTATGTTTTAACTGAGAACAGCCAATACCCAGGTAAATGACTGTATTGGGATTTAAATTGCATGTTAGTACACAGAGTTATCCAGACCCTAAATTAATTCGTAAAAAAATTTAATTATTCATCATTTCTCATAAGCATAGCTGTTGATACATGTGTCCAATTATTTGCTTTAAAAAATTTTATTAAAATTATGTAACATTACATTTTTTTCCCAGGGGAGAAAGAAAACATCAAACAAACAAGAGAAAAAACATCTAAATTATCTATTCTGTTCTTTTTTGTTTTTTAACCACTTTTGGGTTTTCCCCTTGCAGAAACCACAGAAATATTCCCTTAGAATAAAACAGTATATTTGTATTTGATGGGTGAGTTATTCTTTTTCTTTGTCTTGAAAGAATTTTAAATATTTTTTTCTGTTTGACCCTCTTGGTATAACCCAACAGATGGTATATAACAGAGAGTGAGCAGTTTTCAGAAAATAAATTGTTTGGTTATTTACTTGGTCCAGTAAATACGTTGTTTCATTACAGTCTTTTCAGTTGTTTTCTTTCTTCCATCAAAAGACTTGTTCCCATTTTTAGTTGATTTATTAACTATGTTCAAAGCCCTAAAAGCTAGAAATATCAGGTATAATGTATATATTTCATTTTACACAAACTTTTTTGAAATTAACAAAATTTGCATCCATTCAACTTGAATGATTCATTTTGAAATTGTGAGATTAAAGAATATATACAGTTTTAAGTATGTATACATTTGTAATTTGGGAATGTGAGACCAAATGGCATTTTCCTTATATTCTAGAGCTATCTTTATATTGTACAAACATACCTTCAAATTCCATATAAATTATATCCACCTACCCTGCGGCATTTCAAATTTTGTAAAACAGGAGTTTCCCAAAAGGTCTAAAGTAAAACAGATTTTTGTAAATGAATCCCAGTTTTCTATTAAATTCAGAATTTTCCATGCAAATAGAAAGGTTCCCTATGGTACTAAGTTGAAATTTTAGGAAGTAATTAAGCAATAATATCCCTAATTCCTCTTGTCTGTCATCATCATCATATGTTATTATCATCGTTGAAAAAGTAATAAGAGGCATTGTTACAGAGTGGGAAGATCAAGGTCTTGGAGCCTAGTCTTTCCTCTTACTGGTTGTATAGCTTTAGGTAAACTACTTCTTTGTGCCTCAGTTTTCTCATTGAGTGGAGTAATAATAACTTTTATATTATAAGTTGTACTTGGTACATGGTGGAATTTCAAATGTCAAGCAAAGATAAATGTACCCCATGTTCATTGCAGCATTATTCGCAATAGCCAAGACATGGAAACAATCTAAGTGTCTTGAGGATGATTGGATAAAGAAGATGTGGTACATATATACAATGGAACACTACTCAGCCATATAAAAAATAAAAGTAGAATGTATTCCCTTTTAAACGGTAGAAGGAAATTGTCCATTGCTACTCAATGAAAAGCAAGGGGGGTAGGGAAAGGTAGTTAAGTAGAATTTGTGAAATAACAGCAGAAATAAGCTCTAAGTTAAAATGAATGTAAGCATTTAAAATTTAACCGGACAGACTCTCACCCTTCTTTTTCATCTTCACTTGCCCTTCCCTGCATAGAGACGTTGTAAATGTAAATGCGTGGAGAAATTGGTGTGCCTGGAGCTCATGGATGCCACTGGTGAGAGTTGCCACAGTGAAGGAGCCCAGCAGCAGAGCAAGTGAGGCAGTGGGTGGCTGGAATGGTTAGGAGACTGACTACGAGGTGTGATCAAACAATACGGTGAACGTTTAAATTTTTTTTTAAATTATTACAGTAAAAGACACATTGCTATTAATCCCTGTCAAAATACGCTCGCTTTGAACACAATTATCCCATCGTTCTTACCACTTTCTGAAGCAGTTCTGGAAGTCCTCTTTTGTGAGTGTCTTTAGTTGTTGCGTCTTTAGTTGTTGCTGTCATTGGCTGCCTCAATGTCCTGAATCGATTCAAAACGTTTACCTTTCATGGTCATTTTGACTTTGGGGAAGAGCCAGAAGTCCCATGGTGCCAGATCCAGTGAACAAGGTGGATGAGGACACACAGTAATGTTTTTATTTGACAGAAATTGCCGTGTACCAGAAGCGATGTGTGACATGGAGTGTTGTCATGATAGAGGATGATTTACGGCACACTTTAAAACGCACCTTCTTTCAACTGTAGCTCACACCCGACTGACTGCATCAAACAAGTTGCAACTCTTCACACAGTTATTAAGGTTCGACGTGCTGCTTCCCGTATTGAAGATCCCTGCCTTTCCGTTGGATGGCACTCGGCAGCAGCATTCACTGTATTTTTTAATCACACCTCGTACATTGTGCAAATAAGTGAAATAATTGAGAAATATGTACATAGATTGAGAATAATGGGAGTCGCATTTCTCACTGTTTGAGAAATGATTAATGAACATAAAAAGGGTAAAAAGAACCCCAAGGTGTTGAATTGAAATCAGAAGAATTGGTGATAGATAGATAGATAGATAGATAGATAGATAGATAGATAGATAGATAGATAGATGATAGATTTATATATAGTTGTATGAACATGTGTACATATTATGGATCTATTCTATCCAATGACAGGGTATAGAAACAATTATAGCAAAGAGCATACCAAGCGCTAAGGCATTAGGGCTCAATGGCTGATTCTAAGACTGAGGCAGGAAGGTACAAAACAATCCTGAAACATCTTATTTTGAGTGATTAAATACTGAAAAAATGATGGGGAGATGTTAGAAGGACACAGCACAGCACAAAGCCTAGCACAGTAAATGCTCAAGTAATATAAAGAAGTCAGCCAGAAGAGGCTTCCATTGGTCAAATCTAGGACAACTTATGTTTCAAAATAGAGTATCAGATTATAACCTAATGCATAAAATAGGAATTTGTGAGTCCATACTGATATAAATAAATGAGTAAAAATTTGAAATATTCAGTATGAATTCTTTAAAAAATATCCAACAAGGGCAAAAATGAAGGGAAAATAATATCAGACAAATGTTAACCAGGAAAAAGCTGGGAAGCAACATTTATAGTACCTGATAAAAACAATTCAATGCAAAAAAAAAAAAGGATTATATGCTGATAAAAAAGAATTTTAAAAAAAGTAAATATCATGGATATTACTATACTCAAAACAGCCTGAAAACTGGGAAAGTTTTGGACAAGAAAAAGGAGGATGGATAACCCTTGGGTTAAAAAAGGAAATGGGAAAACACCTACAATAGGCTAATAAAATCATGTCTGACTCTAGGAACACAGCTAAAGCAGAACTGAGAGGGAAAAGTATAGATTTAAAATCATTTTTCATTTTCATGAAGTCACTTTGAGGAAACAAGAAAGATTAAGAATGAATGAAGCAATCATTCAATAAAGAGTGAACAATGGGGGGAAAGGGAAAATAGTAATAAAATCGGAAACAAATGTAAAAGAGAAGATAGATATGGCTTTTATTATGTTGTTGAGGTACTTCTATACCCATTTTATTGAGTGTTTTTATTATAAATGGATGTTATATCTTTTCAAATGCTTTTTCTGCATCTATTGATATGATCACATGATTTTTATTTTGTTAATGTATATCACATTGATTAGTGGATGACGAACCATCCTTGCATCCCTGGAATGAATCCCATTTGATTGTGATGTGTGATCCTTTTAATAGATTGTATTCAATTTGCTAGTATTTTGTTTAGGATTTTTGCTCTTGTTCATCAGAGATACTGGCCTGCCTTTTTTTTTTTTTTTCTTATATTGTCCTTGCCTGGTTTTAGTATCAAGGTAATGTTGGCTTCGTGAAATGATTTAGGAAGTATTCCTTCTCTTCAGATTTTTGGAAGAGGTTGAGGAGGACTGGTATTAAATTGTCTTGAATAATTGGTAGAAATCACCAGTGAAGCCATCTGGTCCTGGACTTTTGTTTTTTGGGAGGTTTTTTTATTACAGTTTCAATTTCCTTACTAGTGATCTGTCTATTCCAATTTCTCATGATTCAGTCTAGAATGGTTGTATGATTCTAAGAATTTGTCCATTTCTTCTAGAATATCAAATTTGGTGGCATATAGCCATCCAGGGTATTCTTTTTCTTTTTTTTTTTTAAAGATTTTTTATTGGGGAATTGGGGGGATGGGAACAGTGCTGGGGAATTGGGGGAAGGGGAACAGACAAGTTGCTGTCCTTTTGTTCTTCAGTCTAGTTGTGGAGGACGTTGCTTCACTGGCCCAAGTTGGCACCATCATTGCGCTCTTCCCGGGCAAGACACATCAGTTGCCGGCTTCTGGACAGCTGCTCACTGCGGCTGCTGGCCGCTCACGCTGGCTGCACACGGTAGCCCATGGCAACCCACTGCCACAGGGGCTGCAGCCCACGCCGTCGCCGGCAACCCACGGCAGCCCAGCTCCAGGTAGAGCTGTTGTTCAGCATCTTAGCTGTAGAGGGCAGTGTCACTGGTCCTCATATGTGGGATCCGAACCGGGGCCCTCTGGTGTCCCAAGCCAGTTCTTAACCATCGCGCCACTTGGCCGGCCCCCAAGGTATTCTTGTATAATCCTTTGTATTTGTGTGGTGTCCATAGGAACGTCTCATTCTTTCATTTATGAATTTATTTATTTATTATTATTTTTTAAAGATTTTTATTAGGGAATTGGGGGAAGGGGAACAGTCAAGTTGCTGTCGTTTTTGTTATTCAGTCCAGTTGTGGAGGATGTTGCTTCACTGGCCCAAGTTGGCACCATCATTGCGCTCTTCCCAGGTGAGGCACATCAGTCGCCGGCTTCTGGACGGCCGCTCATGCTGGTTGCTGGCTACTCACGCTGGCTGCACACGGTAGCCCATGGCAACCCACTGCCACAGGGCCTACAGCCCACGCCATCGCCGGCAACTCACAGCAGCCCAGCTCCAGGTTGAGCTGTTGTTCAGCATCTTAGCTGTAGAGGACAGTGTCACTGGCCCTCATATGTGGGATCCGAACCGGGGCCCTCTGGTGTCCCAAGCCAGTTCATTTATGAATTTATTTATTTGAGTCTTCTTTTTTACTTAGTGAATCTAGCCAGAGGTTTGTCCATTTTACTTATCTTTTCAGAGAACCAGCTCTTTGTTTCATTAATTTTATCTATTTTTGTTTTCTATTTCATTTATTTCTGTTCTGATTTTTATTATTTCTTTCCTTCTACTGTCTTTGGGCTTTGTTTGTTCTTCTTTTTTCGAGTTCTTTAAGGTATAATGTTATATTTGTTTATTTGATATTTTTCTTATTTCTTGAGGTAGGCCTGTAATGCTATGAGCTTTTCTCTTAGGACCACGTTTGCTACATCCCCCAAATTTTGGTATGTTGTATTTTCATTTTCATTTGTCTCTGCATATCTTTTGATCTCTTATTTCTTGAACCAATAGTTGTTCAGTAGCATGTTGTTTAATCTCCACATATTTCAGATTTTTCCAGCTTTATTGTTGTGG